TCTCTCTCTCTCTCTCTCTCTCTCTCTCTCACACACACACACACACACACACACACACACACACACACACACCGTCCTGATCTGTCGGAAACAGTCTGCCACAGTCATGTTTTTTTTTGTGTGTATGGCGAATATGATGACACAAAAAAAAATAGAAATACAAATGCCCGAGAAGTGTGACAACAACAGCCCTCCCCCCCCCTGTTCGTCCCTCTCCTCGGCCGCAGCGTGGCTGCGGCGGGTCCACTTGTCATGATAATTGCTCTTGCCACCTGAGCGACATATTTCCATTCACTTTTGCCATTCCCACCACCTGTTTGAATCCAGGCATCCGACCAATCAAAACTACTCCTTGTGAACCTTGTCCAATACTTTTTTTTTTTTTTTTTTTTTTTTTTTTGGGAACAAAGCTCCAATCTATTCGTGGGGAGCAACACATGTTGGGAACCGGGCCCTGCGTCCCATATGAAAATTTACATATGATGATTTTGAAGATTCAGATACCGGGGCCATTACCCGGCTTTGACTCAGAAAAAACGAAGCTACTTAGAAAATGACTACGACAAATTTCAGAATATAACCGGAATTCATAAAACTGTTCAGAAAACCTCCCCATCCTTCCACTTTACCTTACTCCGACAAGACTTACTGCAGCAGAGCCACCATCTCCACTGCTGCTGTGCCCTAATCCCATCCTACCAGCTAGCCCCCTCACTAGTAGGACGCGTGATATCCCACCATCTCCTTCCCCACTCCCCCTCGTCTTGTTTTAACTCAAAAAAGTGGGGCTTCTTTAGGAAATGACTGCAACAGACTTCAAGAATCAACAGGGCTCAAAATCCAACTCGAACCCCCCCCCCCATCAATCCTTTGTTCCTCACTCTAGCAGGACTTACTGCAGCAGAGCCACCATCTCTACTGTTGTTGTTACCCTATTCCAATCCTACCAGCCAGCAGAGCCACCATCTCTACTGTTGTTGTACCCTATTCCAATCCTACCAGCTAGCCCCATCACTAGTAGGACGCATGGTATCCCACCGTTTTTTTCTCCCAGTCACCTCGTTTCTTTTTTAGAATAGACCGCGGGGGTCCAAAAAGAAAATCCAAAAATCTCGACCTCCTTACCAAACCTTTTCAGGGTTCCTCAAAGTTGTCTTACTCCCTGCCGAGCTCTTCCAGGCCTCACCCCCCCACTTCCTGCTGGGTTACAGGGCAACATAACTCGCCCCAGCTCCGGCCAGCATCATCCCAGCAGCAAACCTTGGTTGTCCCATGAGATGCACATCCCCGCAGCAAAAGTCGGGTAGAATAGCCTTTCGGACTGATTTAGGTGGTAGATAAGTAGGGTCACACTGTTATGATATCTTTAGATGTTTTTTGTGGGTTTTTTCTGTTTTATTTTTTGTTTTTTCGTAGGGTCTTTCTCTTTTTTTTTTTTTTTTTTTCTTTCTTTCCTCTTTTTTCTTTCTTTTTTTCTTTTTCGTTGTCTTTTTCTTTTTCTCGAACACGAGGCGGGGTCTTATCTGGGGTGAGACAAGTACTTGGTGGCGGGAATGAGCTGCGAGACTTCTGGTATGTTCTTCTTTTCTTATCTTCTATACAGCATCTGGCTCGGATCTGGTCTATCTTTTTTTCTCTAGCTGATCCGTCTTTCTAGAAGCTTTCAAACTGGAAACCTGGCTCTATTTCTGTGTCTACGAATCTGGTCGCTTTCCAAACTTAGGCTATCGATATCTACGAACAATCTTTCTGCTACTTATACTTCTTTTCTATATCTTGTCAGTCCCCCTTCCCGCGACAATCGAAGACCCCTGATGATTCCGGTTTGCGGCCGGATGAAACGCAGTGTAGGGTCGCTGCGCTATGTCAATCCATTACGTTTTCTGTGGATTGTCTTTCGACGGTTTCTAATGATTATTTTTTGGCCGTTGTGGTCGCGTTCGGGAACGATTGAGTGTACTCTCTCTTTCTATCTTTTCTCCCTCCCCTCTCTCTCGCGATTCAATGGATGCTTATCGTTTTTTGAATTTCGGGTGACTTTGTCAATTCCCGTAACTCACGTGGTAACCGCCGTAAAGATAGGATTACGGTTGAGTGGCTTCGTAACTTACTGTAAGGCCATTGACCTGGTTTTTCTTCTTCTTTTTCTTTCCTTTTTTCTTTCTTTTTTTCTTTCCTTTTTTCTTTTCTTTTCTTTTTTTCTTCTCTTCTTCTTCTTTGCTTTTCTTTTCTTCTTTCCTCCTCCTATTCTTTTTCTTTTTCCCTCGTAAGCACGCCGATCATGACTGGGCGAGGGAACTGTTTCACTTGTGGCTTACCGGGGCACTTTTCAAGGGAGTGTAATCAGCGTTTAGGCTACTCATATGGGCGACCTCCAGTGGCAACAGGGACCAATGCTCAGCCGCTGCTGGCTTTGCCAGCACCTGCCACCGTGACGCCGCAGGCGGTGACACCGATTGCCACTACGGCTTATGTGACGCAACCGAGAGGTGGTTTCTGGCGAGCTAACCAGGAGACGTTGGATAGATGCAATGCGTTCATTAGTCGCGCGGAGCAGAAGGAAAAAGAGCAAGAGGAGGAGGCACAACGGGTGAAGAAGAAGCAAGAAGAGGAGGAAACGGCCAACAGGGTGAAGAAAGAACGAGAAGAATTTGAGGCACAAATGGGGCAACGATTGGAGAATCGATTGACGGTCCTTCGGGAGGCACTCTTGGGAAAAGGTGGCAGCAACGCAAGCACTAGCGGCGAAAACGAAGAACTTAGCAGACTACCAAAGGAGAATGAAGAACTGTGTGCTAAAATTAGCGATAAGGGCAAAACGAGTGAGACTAAAGTTATTGAGCAATTGAAGAGAGAGAATGAGGTGCTGAGACGCAGCAGAACTGAGGACGAGAACATGGGGAGGGAACTCCCGAGCTTACGAAGGGAGTTGCACGAAGTTAGAGACAACCGAACGACTGTAGGGAAGGAAGAATTTGAACGAGAAATCGAATGTTTACGTGATGAATTAGAACTGGTGCATAGAGAAAAGGCTGAATCGCCGGAGGAAACGAGGCAATGGCGTGACCAGGCTCTTCGTCCTGGTAACAAGCGTGGTCCCATTGGGATGTCTAACACCTGTGACCAGCTATAGGGCGCGGACAAGGCTGAGGGGGGAAGGCAACCCCGGACTCGGATGAAACAAGGAGAATATGTGATGAACTTCACGAGCTGAAAGAGAAGATCGATATGCAACGCTGCGACCAAGCCGAGGTTGACCTGCTGAAGGAGAAACGGGCAGCTGCTGAATTAAAGCGCATGCAAGCAGAGAATGAGATACTCAGATTACGGGAAGAGATGAGCAAACTTTCCACGAAGCAAACAGTGGTTGAAACTCCGAAGGAGAAGGAGACGAATCTGATGAAACAGCTGAACGAGGCTGCTACTGAAGTGCAAAAATCAAGGAGGGGGAAGGTTAAGGCCACCCCAAGGCGTTTTTCGATAGCAGAGAGTAGTGCTAAGAAAGCCAATGACATGTTCGTTTTCGTTCAAGACGAGAAGAACAGACTGAAGGCACTAAAGAAGAAGGGCCTCAAACCGGTGTGTGTAGCAGTCGGCATCAAGTACAAGACTATTGATACTTTTGCTGAGGAGTTGGCGCAGTACAACGCTGACCAAGTGTTCGGCAGCCATAGTGAGCCAGATCTAGGGAACACAGGTGAGGACGGGATTGTTGAAGGAGGAGACAACTCTACTACGGAGGATGGTAAGTGCGCTGACGTCCTGGAAGTTCCCTCCGATACTGCTTGATTGGACTTCCCGGACGTGACGAAACTGTGGGGACTTTCTAATTGGTGTCGTAATCAACGGTCTGCATCTATTTCCTCTCTGCGAGATGCTAGGCTTAACATGTTTCTCCAGACTATCGTCCTTCTTCTTATATTATGTGGTGAAATTTCTTGGGCTGGGAAATTCAAGTCTAATTTGCTCTCCGCTGCGCGAAATGAGGACGATCTCTTTCACTTCTCTGGGCCTCTGGTCTATGTATTGATCTCTCCCTGGAACAAGCATGCTTATATTAGGTCTACGGGCAGGTCTCTGGATATCAGGTGGAATGAACATGCCTATAGGGCTTGTGATGAGGGTGTGATCCGACAAGGAAAACAGAATCACAAGTTATATATTTGGCTTCGGAGGTGTGGGGCTGACCAAAATGTTGCTCTGCCTCTGTTCAGATGTCAACAGGATGACCTTCTTGATCATGAGAGATCTGTAATTTACGGCACTAATCCATACCTTAACAGTAGGGATAGGCCGAGGAAGAGACGTAAATGTAGGTTGGGTAAACGGGAGAGGTTGAGACGGCAGGGAAGGCGTGCAAGTATTTGCGATAAGGGTCATGGGAAAGACCCTGATCAGACGAGCAGGGGTGTTTATTTGGAGTTTGAAACTTCAGAAGGAGTGAAGTCCGCTAGTTAATTGGAATCGTTCCTTAGAGACAAACTCCAATTAACACTGAGTATGGACAAAACCCATATTACCCATATGTCGAAAGGAGTACCTTTCCTTGGCCACAACATCTTTCGAAGTATGCGGTGGCAACCTTACGGCTCGAAGAGCAGACGCTTCGCGTCTGAATCCCACGAAGGCGCGAAAGCGCGTAAGAATTTGACTGTCTTTGCGGATACCGCTAAATACATCAAAAGACTTCAAACCCAAGGTTTCCTCAAAGGGAATGAGTCACAACCATGTTTTGGATATATGCACTTTCCTCAAAGTGAAACTAACTTTAGGATTAATACTAATCGGAAAAAACGTTTGCAAGGATGGCAGCAGCAGAGGGCGAAGGAATTGACTGTGCACTGTGAGGGAGGCATAGAACTGTTGGACAATTGGAAGGTACTAAAACGATGCTATGGATCGTTAATGATTGAAACCTGTTTTGGGACTAGACAACTTAAAAAAAAAACTGGGAATGGTTGAAGTCAGGAATAACGGTTGTTTTCAAGTCCGTCATGTTTTTCTGTGTGAAGCTGGTGTGCTTGAAGCCCAAGCTAATTGAATTCCTTAGCAACCCTGTTTCTCGATGAGAGTTGGTAAGTTGGGATCTAGATGATATGATAGGACTGTATGTGGGCATTAGAAGCTTCTCTGAAAAAAGAACACGATATAGTTTGAGGTGCCTTGTGTCTGGGGCAATCAGAAGGAGATTATGTATTAACGTGAGGGAGAGATTGGTTGTTCGGGTAACATATGATGAACGATTGTCCAAATACGGGGTTAGGAAGTTGTGGGCCGATCTGATTGGGACACTAGATATCGCGAAAAGTTGGAAAAGTTTGCTGATCCAGAGAATGCGTGTGGTGTGGCTAAAGAATCGGAACGTGGGCGATTTGCTATATAACTTCAGACGTGAGGCCAAGGAGGTGAAAGCAGACTGTTGCTGTTAAGACCTTGATGAAGCCTTTCCAAGGGTTGATTCTCATGTCTGCTTCCGAACTTCGGAGTCTTCTTTTGTCCCGACGTTTCTGAAAAATGCACAAAATATTCCTGCTTCGTCGTATAGTACCTCAAAGGATGGTTTGCGTGTCTTTTGAGAAAGTCTCCTCTTTGCCTTCCCTGAATCGGAAACTTTTCAAGCGTGAACTTGTTGACCAATGCTTTAATAATACAATACCTGTTGTATGGGCGCAAGGTTCTGATGTGGATACGGTTTTTGAGTGGAGGGAGAAGTTTGGGAGGATGGTTGTCTGCCCCATCGACCATAATCCTGGGGATTCGCTGGTTTGTTGCTCGGTGGTTTATCGTGATGGGATGAATAAGCTATTTTTGGTAAGCCCCGGGCGCCAGTTGTGTACAGGGGATGAGAGAGAGGTAATTTGCGAAGCTAAGAGGAAGTATGTCGAAAAGGATTTTCAGCGGTTGGGTAGTTGGAATGATAAGGGGAAGCTTGGGCAGGCGTACGCAATTCCTAAACATAAAGATATTAGGAAGTGGCGCCTGATTTGTCCAACATTCTCGGAATGTGGGGTTCTGGCTACTAAGCGGGTGACACAGGCACTGAACCAGATGTTGTGGGAACTACCGAAGGCATCCAATTTCAACCTTAGAATTGTCGATCTCCTGGAAGATACTATGTCGCGCATTAATAAAGAACTGAAGAAGGGGGATTGTTTTCTAACTGCTGCTTTTGATATAAAAGAAATGTTCTGCAACTTACCGCATAAAGCAATCTTTGAGGCTGTTGCCTGGGCTATTGATTTTTGGATGTTGAAAGATTTTCAGGGGGTGCTTGTTAGGACGAGAGGAAAAGGAGCAAAGCTGGGTTGTGGAAGAAGGGTGGATTAACATTACCTTCGAACTTATTTCGGAGTATGTGGTTTTTGATTTAGACAACACCTTCGTGATGGCTTGTGGTAGGATTTTGAGGCAGCAGATCGGTATTCCGATGGGAAAGGCTTCAAGCCTTGCGCTGGTGTGCGTACTATGTACGTATAACGAATTCATGTTTCTGTCCTCCCTGGGTAGTGATCGACGATTGATTAACGGGATAAGGGTGGTTGATGATGTGTCCATTCTTATTTGTTACAAAGTAGCTGACTGTGCTTCGGAGAAGAGGGCTGATGAAATTTTGCAACTCTTCAAGCGATACTATGATAATAATTTAACCTTGGAGCAGACAAGTCAGGCTGACTGTTGGGATTTTGTTGGTTGCCTCATGAAGGCCTTTGAGTGGCCTTGGGGTGTTCGGTGCATAGCCTTGCATAAGAACCAGCGGTATGTGCAGGGAGGCAAGCTGCTTTTCCAGAATTTGCAGGACTTTGATTCTTATTGCGGATGACAACAAAAAATGGCTGTAATCGGAGATTGTCTCCACAGAGCACGAACGTACACTAATCTTCCAGGTGTCGAGATTGCCTTTCTGTTCACTTTGAAAATCGAGCTTCGAAAGCGCGGTTTTCCAGAGGAGTATTTTGATGATGCGCTCCAGAATTTCTCCAACAAGTTTTGTGGTATGTGGGCAGACTGGGTTGAGTGCCTAACCGGATGGGATGTGGCCCTCCAAGGGGGGCGACATAAAGTGAAAGATGGCCTACTCGGGGGAGGGGCACCTGGGGTAAAATTGATTGGGACTGTGTGAAGTGAAGGGGGCTTTTTGGGGGTAAAAGTCGGGTAGAATAGCCTTTTGGAATGATTTAGGTGGTATATAAGTAGGGGGCACTGTTATGATATCTTTAGATGTCTTTTGTGGGGTTTTTCTGTTTTGTTTTTTTTTTTTTCGTAGGGTCTTTCTCTTTTTTTCTTTTTCTTTTTTCTTTCCTCTTTTTTTTTTTTTTTTTTTTTTTTTTTTTTTTTTTTTTTTTTTTTTTTTTTTTTTTTTTTTTCCCTCGAACACGAGGCGGGGTCTTATCTGGCGTGAGACAAGCACTTGGTGGCGGGAATGAGCTGTGAGACTTCTGGTCTGTTCTTCTTTTCTCATCTTCTATACGGCATCTGGCTCGGATCTGGTCTATCTTTTTTTCTCTGGCTGATCCGTCTTTCTAGAAGCTTTCAAACTGGAACCTGGCTCTATTTCTGTGTCTACGAATCTGGTCGCTTTCCAAACTTAGGCTATTGATATCTACGAACAGTCTTTCTGCTACTTGTACTTCTTTTCTATACCTCGTCAGTCCCCCTTCCCGCGACAATCGAAGACCTCTGATGATTCCGATGAAACACAGCGTAGGGTTGCTGCCCCATGTCAGTCCATTAAGTTTTCTGTGGACTGTCTTTCGACGGTTTCTAATGATTATTTTTTGGCCATTGTGGTTGCGTTCGTGAACGATTGAGTGTACTCTCTCTTTCTATCTTTTCTCCCTCCCCGTTTTTTGGAAATCAACAGGACACCCCCGTTTTTCCGTTAAACGGGATTCCACGGGGGTCCTCAGACCTGTTAAACGGGTTGAACGGTGTTTAATTCCACCCGTTCTCCGTTCATCGGACACATAGCTTTTAGGCACTGACCAGCAACCTCTACCATAGACACATGTGGGTTGGGAGTTTTTCTGTGGCGCGCGCGCTCTTCTCCACATGGTCTAGAGGTAGGGGCAGTTGCAACCCCTACTGGCGGTTTCCTTTTGCTGCCTATGCAGCATACCGAGCCTCTTTGTATTTACGACAGTATTTAATAATGTGCCCTGGATCACCGCAATAGATGCACTGATCCTGGTCTATCCTCCTCTTCCAAACTGTTTGCTCTAGGCCCAGACCTTCCCAGGGCCTGCCTTGTGGCAAATCAGGGTGCCATCCACCCCTCCTGGGAGGTGACCGAGTAAAGCGATAGTGGTTTTGCATGGGACCTTGACCCCTGCCTCCCACTTGGCGATTTCCTCTGCCGCCAACCCCCTGATCGCTTTGTCCTCGACCACTAGAAGCCTGGCCGCCTTGGCCCCAACCTCCTCCTCTTCCTTGCGGCCTCCCTCCAGCCACGACAACAGCATAAGTACTCCCCTAACTCACACTACTGCCCTCCTCCTGGAGGCCCCACTCAACCTGAATGTAGGGGACCTCTTCCATACCACCTTCATCTAAAGTGAGAATCAAATGATCCTTGGCTCTGACTTGGCCTGAGATGGTACGACCCTTCCACTTTTTGCCCTCGTCAAGATCCTTATGCTAGAAAGTGGAAACTGGCATGGACTGCGCCTCGAAAGCTACCACTTCCCTACTCAGAATATCGTAGGCCATGGCCGACTCCTTGCTCTTTTCAAAGAAATGCCCGCGCAACGGCTCGGGCGACGATAGCATAAGTTGACCAGTTGGGTCTCAGTAACCCCATGGTTAGGGACAACAACTAACCTGTTCATTACGCCCTTGAGGGCCCTAGCACTCCTCCATTGGCGAGAGTGGATTATTTGCAACTTGTCAGAGACCCTAATCTCTCTAGTAACATCAACAAATCTCTCGAGCAACAACTTAAAGAGTGCACTCAGGGTGGTTTTTGCAGAGTAAGCTACCATATCATTCTTGCACTCAGCATCGCGGACAAACGATCGGGCGAAACTTGCTGCCTCTTCCCTAAGGGCATAGAAAGCTATTAGAACTTGCTCCTCAGGTAGGATCTTTTGAAGGTGAACGTACGAATTGACGTTTT